CTTTCAGCACTTGTGGCATTCTTTTATCGGCTTTTATTTTTGTTTTCTGTATTTTTAACTTCATTTAAAGATACAATTACTCAGAGGGATGGGGGAATCAGATTATTGGTCAGATGTGAAGTATACTAAAATGAAGTCATTCTTATTTTTTTGCTCAGCTTCTGTCTTGGTGTATAGGTTCTTCTCAAGAAAGAAAAAAGCAAATTATATCTCCGCAGAAGAGAATAAGAGCTTTAGGAAAAGCAGATATCATATATCTCCTTGGATGACTCTTCATTAGAAGGCAAGAATGGGTGAAGAAGCTGCTTAAGGAGGCAGAAAAAAACACTCTCTCCCAGAGGGTGTCTGAATCAGTTATACACTCAGGGACACAATCAATTCTTCCAACATTTTAGAAACTATCCCACCAGCATCTGTTCTTGAAAATATCTCAGAATTTCAGAATAAAATGGTCCCAAAGCAACCGCAACTAAAATGGCAAAGAACTGTAAGGTTTCAAACAGATCTCCTTGGGAATAATTGCCTATTGGGAGTAAAGACTGTGCTCCCAAAGAGCTAATGAATACTAGATGAGTTTGGGTGAAATCCTAAGCTGCCTCTGTATAAATGATGTAAATGGAAGATAGAAAACAGAAGGCTAAAACATAGGAAGGATGGTTGCAGGAATTGGGTATGGCTAGTTTAAGAAAAAAAGAAAGAAAGACTAGGGGTGACATGATATTATATTTGAGAGGTTGTCACAGAGAAGAGGGGGATCAACTTATTCTACAGAGCACCTGAGGGGAAAGACAAGAAGCAATGGATGGAAGGTAATTGAGGAGAGAACTAACCTAGAAAGTTAGAACAACTAACAGTTACAACAATTAATCAGTGTAACGGCATTCCATCAATTGAAGTTCCCAAGAAGAGATTGGACAGCCATTTGTCTGAAATGTGGGTTGGATTAGAAGACCTCCAAGGTCCCTTCCAATGTGTTATATTCAAAGGCCACAGGGAATACTGAATACGTCTTTTTCTTTTTTGTGTGTGCTCAGCAGAACATCAGTTGAAGTTGAATATACTCTATATCTGCACTTGTGATCCTGGGGATCTCTCTCCTCCTTCTCTTTCTCTCCCTCCCACCCTGCCTCCCTCCCTCCCTCCCCCCCACACACATACATTTATTCCTCTGCTCTGAAAGCTTCTTAGTTTCATTTATTACCTCCCCATTGGACAGGGCAACCTGGATTCGAAGGTGGAGAATGTTAATTTGGAAAGGTTTGCTTGAACCTAATCTGATTCTTGGCTTCCATAATGTCTCTTTGTTTGGAACTGCAGCAAAAAATAACTCCATGAACCAAAAGAAAAAGAGTGGGGAACACTTTCTGTCATTGATGAAAATGGCCATAAAGGAGGAAGAGGAGAATCAAGGAATTTCTCCAATCAAAGCGCAATGGATTTCCACATCACATCATGTTGGGTGATGGAAAGATCTTGATCGTTAACAAAAATATTTAATTTTACTATTTATTCCTTCTCACTGAGACCCATATTCTGAACAAATATATGGGGAATATTTGATGCCTGTATTAATTACTCTATGGTTTTCCCTGTTCATCTATTAGATTTTTATCCCCCTCCCTCTTTAAAAAAAAAATTTTTTACTTTAAGAGTAACTCAAGGCAGCAAACCTCCCTAATATTTCATCCTTCCCCTATTTTACCCACAAAAACAACCCTGCAAGTGGGGTTGGACTGAGGGAGAGTGACTGACCCAAGGTCACCCTGCCAGCTTTCATGCCTAAGGCAGAACTAGAGCTCACAGTCTCCTGGATTCTAGCCTGGAGCCTTAACCACTAAAAGAAGTTGATGAATGAATATATGTTAACATATAATAAACATCACTCCATACTTATTTATTTAGTTAGTTAGTATATGGCATACAATGTCAGGAAAATCAAAAAATGCTAGACACAATGCATTCCTGACAGCCTAAATTGCTAGTTCATTCTGTCCAGCAGTCCTTGGTGCACTGCTGGGGGTGAGCGAGCTGACACCAGCGGAGTAGCAGCGTTGGTTGCTTGCTCTTCAGGGTTCCTCCACTGGTCTTACTTTGCCTTACCTTGCCTTCTCTTGTGTTGCATAACCTGCACTGCCTCATATCTGCCAGGTCCAGAGCTGGCTTCTGCTCTCCCCACATACTAACACAGCTAGGTTTTTCCCGCCAAAGTGGTACCCATTTATCTTCTTCCAATACTGCATGCTTTTGAACTGTTAGGTGGGCAAGAGCCAGGGAGCAAGCGGCAGTAGTTCAATACATCTCCCAGAGCTGGCCTCGAACTGGTGGAGTACAGACTATTTCTGGCCAGCAGTTCCAGTGTCATTAAGTGTCTGTGCCACCTCATCCCCTTCTCTTTTTTCTTTTTTTCCTTCCTTCCTTCCTTCCTTCCTCCTTCCCTCCCTCTCTCCCTTCTTTTTTCTTTCTCTCTCTCTTCCTTCCTTCCTTCTCTCCCTCCCTCCCTTTTCTTTCTTTCTTTCTTTCTTTCTTTCTTTCTTTCTTTCTTTCTTTCTTTCTTTCTTTCTTTCTTTCTTTCTTTCTTTCTCCCTCCCTCCTCCCTCCTTCTCTCTCTCTCCTTCCTTCCTTCCTTCCTTCCTTCCTTCCTTCCTTTTTTTCCTGTCATATAACTATGCAGTTTACATTCTGGAATGTAATGGTTGACACATAGATGGATGGACATTAGCTCAGACTCTATTATTTATTCAGTAACTGCTTCATTTATTCCTCATCTCCTTCTACAATTTGAGAGACATTTCATATCTTAAATGCTTTGGCTACAGTTGAAAAACAGATACACTGAGCTGGGATGCTCAGCATTTGAATAACGTCTGAGGGGAAGGGGGAAATGGCACAGCTGAGAAATGAAGGAAAGGTTGAGGGGGGGAAAACAAAGCATTAATCAGGATGTGAGCTAATTCAAGAGTTGTGCTACCCAGAACAGGTCAAAACACAATTCATTTTAATTAAAGCCAGTTTAAAAAAAATAGAGAAAAGACAATGCTAATCCAAGTAACCAGATGATCAAGATAATAGCTATTTTATTTTTATTTATTTGATTTGTCAATCGTTTACAAAATAATAGCTATAAGTATAAACATGAGTAAGAATACAGAAAATAGGTACGATTAAATGGGGACAATAGGACAGGGATGGGAGGCACAATGGTGTACTTATACAATAAATCAGAGAAGTACATATGAATAACAAGGATGTGAGTGCAGAAGAAATGTCAGTGCTACCAGCCTTTGTGCTAACTTTGATGGCAAGTTCCAATAATGAGACATTTTGCTAACAATTTACAGTAGTTCAAATGGGAAACCTAGCGGTCACCTTTACAGTGACAAAAAAAGTTATGGGTTCAGAATATAACAGCTTCAATTCCTTCGTTTGCCAGGTTGCTTGACCTTCCAACAGCTGCATGTTTTTTTCCAGATGCTTTTGTTACAGATGCTATTTGTCTCTTCTCAACTGACAGGGCCCATTCCTCAGACCTCAAGACTCAGGCTCATTTTGACTATATTTCATGGGGACAAGTTGGATTTTCTTGCTAGGGGAGGAGGGAGTAAAATGTCAAGAGTTGTTGCTGTTTTTTGTTTTGGAAGGAAATCCCATGTTAACATTTTTATATACTTAAAAAAATGTAAGTATTAGAGAGGGGGAGAGGGAGGGAGAGTGAGAGACTCCCTTGTATAACACAATCTAGAAACATTTTAATGAGTTGGTGGCTATTTTTCCCCCTGCAAATCTGATGTTATATTTTATATGAGATGTGTGCTCGTAAATGTCCTCTGAAGAAAGAGCAGTGAATGAAACAGACTTACTAAAGTTAACAGTCTCAAGACCCTACACAACTCTAAATGCTAGGAAACAATTGTTGACCTATTTATTTCATTTCTATAGTTGCCCATCTCAACAAGTGACTCTGGGCAGCGTATTTCACAGACCATTAAAACCAAATTAGAAACCAAATAATTAAGACAACATAAAATATGTACGGCACCAAGTAGGACTGCAATCATGGGCCCAGCCAAAACATTGGGTCTTTGGCACCCTGTTCGTCATTTTCATCATGACCCCTTTATGTCACTGGAATAAATGACATAATTCACATCATTTTTGCAATGGCTTCAAGATGCCAGTGATACGGCTCCTGCCATTTACCTATCCTCTTAGGTGTGAATCAAAATAAAATAACGGGGGAAAATTGCTTCACTGACAGCAATGGGGTTTACTCTTTTTAGTTCTGTTTCACTGAAGACCTACAGCACACGGTAGCTGTTACAAGGGCCAGTTACACATTGCAAGATGTAATTTTTTAAAATTATTCTATTTGTCTTCCTCTCAAGCTTCTGCTTGAAGACACACTCTCAGCAGGAGTTGCTGGAAAATCTAGCCCAGAAATTGTATGACCCCATGAAGGGGTGGGCTTCAAAATTTTTAGCAAAGAGTTCTCTGCCCGGTTGCTGGGTGGGCATGCCCATAGTGGGTGTGGCCTAGTCGGCCTCCTGCACCACAGGGGGGACGTTTTTGCCCTCCCTGAGCTCTGGAGGCTTTCCTTGAGCCCCCAGGAGGGCAAACACGGCCTCCCCAGGCTCTGAAGGCTCTCTAGAAGCCAGAAATGGGCCCATTTCTGGCCTTCCTAAACTTCCGGGAGGCCGGTTTTTCACCCTTCCCGAGCCTCCGTGTGTGCCCTGCACTTACCTGCATCCAAACCAGTCTGTGTGGGGACTCCTGGGAGGGGCAGGGAGGGGTAGGTGGGGCCAGCCAGGAGTGGAATTTGGGGCTTCTCCAAAGATCTACACAGATCTTAGCTAGGGGCTTTCCCGAACCTGCTTGTGATGTAAACCAACTTTGATTGACTGCAGTTCATCAAGGTTTACCAGCAAAAGTTTACCTTTGAACTGGAATTGGTATTGTCAACTTACTGTCATCGCCTGTAGGTTTCTCTACCTGCATGACTTTCCCCCATACATCCTTCCTTCTATTAGTAGTAATCTTACATTAGCTTCAATTATCGTAATCTGCATCCATCCATCAGGTTGTTGTCATCATTATAGAATCCACACATTAGCAGAATTGAGGGAATTATTTACCAACTGCTTTCAGTTTATCAGGAAAGAAGCTGCAGATTATATTTGGACCTATCTCTTCCTCAGTATTTGATCAGAAGGGAAACTTGCTTCGTGGCGACATCGTATTAGGTAGTCTAAACAGATTTTCAGGTTTTAAGTTATTTTCAAACTCAATTATTCTCTCCCCTATAAACTTTATCTACGTCATGGTTGCTTCAACGGTCGCCAAAATGGCGTCTTAAGAAATGTATTTCATGCTAGCCTCCAAACAATAATAGGAATAATATAAAAAGATACAACAAAACACTGCTGGCAGAAGAAGCAATTTGAATTCAGTGATGGAAAATACCGCCCTGCAGCCCTAGCAATAGTCTGCTGATAGGCTTTTTATTTTATGCTTTAATCTGAGTTCCTGTCGGCCATTTTTAACAACCCCCAAATAACGGAGTTCTTTGTGCCTTGAAATATATGTTGCACGATGCAATTTGCTAATCGGCAGGCTAAGTTCCAGTGGCCAAACCTGCTTTTTTAATCAAATGCTGTTGTTATTTCATAGCTCAGGGAAGGACAATCGTTCTAAGCTTAGTCCTGTGCCTTAACTTTAAAAAAAAATTACCTTCTGCCTCAGAACACCCCAGGTGATGTCACTGGAGAAGTGATGTGACATCTTTGTGGCTTTCAGAGGAGCATAGGGTATGTGATATATAGCACTTAGCAACAGCAATAGCCCTTAGAGTTATATACCACTCCATAGTGTCTTACAGCCCTCTCTGAATGGTTTACAGCAGGACTCAAGGCCCATAGGCTGGATCCAGCCCACGGGGTGCTTAGATCTGGCCTGTGGGGCACCCTGGAAACAGCGAAGGACTGTCCTGTGGTGCCTCTGCCAAAGAAAACAGAGCTCAGGAGCCCATTTTTGCTGACAGCGCTCAGGCCGCCACATGAGTGATGTTGAGCTAGCCATGCCTACCCTGGCCAGCCCCCCAAAGTCAAACACAACCCTGATGCGGCCCTCAATGAAATCGAGTTTGACACCCCTGATTTACAGAGTCACCCTATTGCCCCCAACAATCTGAGTCCTCATTTTACTGACCTCGGAAGGATGGAAGGCTGAATCCATCATGAGCCAGGCTGGATCGAACGTCTGGCTGTGGGCAAAGTAAGCATGCAATCCTGCATTCTAACCACTGCACTTCCAGGGCTCCAAGATATAGAGGATTGATCCTTTCTTTCTCATTGTTTAAATGGCAAAATGCCCATGTATCCAGAAAGAAAAGGTTTCTTTCCAGAGTTGTGATTTGGGTATGGAGGCTACTTTACAAGCAAGCCCAGGGATTGCCCATTCCATTTCTACAAGAAATGTTCAAAATTTATTGATTTCACTATAATTTATTTCTATTTTATTTTAATGGTTTACCTGGCCAGCCATCTCCCAGCAATGACTCACAGCTTAAACAACAACAACACCACAATTTGAACTGCAATATGTGAGGTCAAAACAAATAGTCTTGGCCTGTTTAAAGAAAAAGCTGTAACCAACAAAGCTTGCTTAGTTTTCTGAACCAAACAGTTGAGGAATTTGAGGCAAGAATGAGACAAGATCTTCAATGCCTTATCAAAAGCTAAGAGGGTGGGGCCTATCCAGATTTCCAGAAGGGTGTTGTTCTACAGGAACACAAACTGCTACAGGGAATGGGTCCAAAACAAGGACCCATTTAATGGAAGGGAGGGACCCACACAACAAGTGCTCCCTACCAAATCTGGTGCAGGTTGGCTCTCCTGCAAATAGCTTAACCTTTTTCTCTCTAGGGCTTTAACCAGCACCTTGTATTGGTCTATAGAGATTCTCAGTCATCCAGGTCATGGTTGTCCCAAAGGTGCTTTTTTTCAGGAGGCAACTGGACTTTCTTGGTTTTCTTTGAAGACATTTTGCTTCTCACCCAAGAAGCTTCTTCAGCTCTGACTGGATGGTCTGATCTTTCCATTCCCCACCATCCAGTCAGAGCTGAAGAAACTTCCTGGAAAAACAAGGAAGTCCAGTTGCCTCCTGAAAAAGCACCTTTGGGACAGCACCTTGAATGGGATCTGGAAGACCAAAGGAAGCAGTTGTGGAGAAGTAGTGCGGCTTGGGTGCAATGGGAAACAAGCCAAACTGCTACTGCTGCTGCTGCATCTGGACCAACCATTGCTTCCAAGCACTCTTCAAAGGCAGGCCCATATAGGGTGTGTCCCAGTAATCCAAAAGAGTTGTGAATAAAGCTCGAGTCACCAGGAGCAAGACCTTCAAATCCAGGCATAGATGCAATTGATGCCCAAGGTGAACCTGTGCGAAAGTACTTCTGTTTCATGTAGAGTAGGTAAGCACACTACAAGCCATACTGTGCAGAAACCATTTTACTAGAGCAAGGCTCTTCAAACTTGGCAAGTTTAAGTCTTGTGGACTTCAACTCCCAGAATTCCTGAGCTAACATGACTGGAGGAGGAATTCTGGGAGTTGAAGTCCACAAATCAAGTTTGAAGACCCCTGTACTAGAGAGTGAGTAATACAACAGGAACAGGAGATGCATCGCAATAACGATAGAGATGAATCTGAGAGAAGCAATGTGATACAGGAAACAACTACAATAGAGAGGAAAGATAGAACTGCATATAAGGTAGACAGAACACCTGTAACAACTGCTAGTTGTGGTTGCTTGCCTGCTCTTTCAGCAAGATCCATAAATCCAGGAGGATTCTCAAGATTAGTTGCTTCAATCTAAACCAGATCAAACATTATACAAACACTGCACCAAATCTGATTCTGGTTCTAGTTATGCCCTTGCCCATTTTATTTTTTAATTTTATTTATTTTTGTCAAGCGATTATAAGATAACAGGTAAAAGTATAAACATAGTTATGAATACATGAAATGGGTACATATAAGAAAAATAAAAAGAAACAATAGAACAGGGACAGTAGGCACGTTAGTGTGCTTATGCACGCCCCCTACAGACCTCTTAGGAAAGGGGTGAGGTCAATAGCCGACAGTCTAGAAAGAAACCACAGAGACTGGCAGAGTATTCCAGACATTGACCACTCTGTTGCTGAAGTTGTATTTCCTGCAATCAAGTTTGGTGCAATTAACCTTGAGTTTGTATCTATTGTGTGCTCTTGTGTTGTTATTGCCCATTATTTTGATTCTTTGGCATGTCTGGTTGCTTTGAAAAGACTGGAGAGTGGCACAGAGGAAATTTATCTGAGTGAGGAACTGATTCACTTGTAAAAAAATCAATCAAGACATCAATGAAGCTTTAAGATGCAATGTTGCTATATTCAACTCATCCCACCCAGGGCAGCCTTTTGTCTCTCTCAAAAAATAATCAGACAAAATTCTAAATGAATCCAAGGTGACATCCCAACTATTCTATTTTGCAATTTCCCACTCATAGGGCACAACATTAGTTTGGAAATCTCCTGCTGGAGACACACCTTCCAATAATTCCAATAATAATTGTTCGCAGACAAGCAATCCGAGATTCTTCTTTTTCCTTTGCTTTATTTTCTTTTTCTTTTTTTTCAATTTTTTCAATTTTTATTCTTTAAAAACAAAAAATACAAAAATATCATTTCCATTTCTTATTTTGTGACTATACATTATTTTTATCCTTCTCCTTCACCCATTCATACCACCTCTCCCATGTCGCATAGTATTCTCGATCCTCTTTGCCTTTCAGTTCCATAGTGAATTTATCTAGTTCAGCACAGTCCATTATTTTTCTAATCAAAACTTCATCCAGTGGTATTTTATCACTCTTCCAATTTTGTGCTAACGTGATTCTTGCTGCAGTTAAGATGTGTACAATAAGGTATCTTTTATCTTTACTCAAATTCCCTTTGATCATACCTAATAAAAACATTTCGGGTTCCAAATTCAATTTATATTTCGTAATCTCAAAAAGCCATCTCTGTATTTTCTTCCAGTATTTTTTGACCTCTATACATTGCCACCACATATGGGAAAACATTCCGTTCTTTTGTTTGCACTTCCAGCATTCCGGTGTCAAGGTTGGATACATTTTCGCCAGTCATGCTGGCGCTAAGTGCCATCTACAAAACATTTTATATTGATTTTCTTTGAATGCCGTCAACAAACTCAGCTTCCAGTTCTCGGTCCAAGTCTTTTCCCACTCATCCAAATTTTTATTATGACCCATATTTCTTGCCCAGGCAATCATTGGTCCCTTAACAATTTCCTCCTCTAGTTCTACCTCCAGTAAATAATTATATGTTCGTGTTATAAATTTTATATCCTTGCCTGTCAAGATTTGGTCCAATTTTTGTAAGTCTTTATCTATCCCTAGCTCCTTTACATCTTTCTTAAATTTAGTTTGAATTTGCAAATATACCCACCAGTCTAATATTATTCCTTGTTCTTTTAGTTTATCCAGTGTTTTTAATTCCCCCTGTTCATCTACCAATTCTTTATATCTAATTTTTTTAGTGTCCCTTTTATTTGGATATAATATAGCTCCCATAGGTGAGATCCAGTTTGGTCTTTTCAAATAATGCTTTTTTAATTTTCTCCCATGTTTGTAAAAGTCCCTTATCAAATGTCTATGGAAATAGGAGTGGATCTTATTCTTTTTATCCCATAGAAAGGCATGCCACCCAACTTGGAGGTCATGACCTTCTATCACCAAAATTCTTTTATTTTTTAAGTTTAGCCACTCCTTAACCAATAGTAAAATTGCTGCTAGATAATATGTTTCCCATTTTGGGAGTCCAAGGCCACCTCTGGTTCTACTATCTTGTAACGTTTTCAATTTTATTCGTGCTTTTTTCCCCATCCATATAAATTTCATTACCGTCCTATCTAATTCCTGAAAAAATTTCTTATCCAATTTTATAGGTATTGTTTGAAAATAGTATAATAGTTTCGGTAGTATGTTCATTTTTATGGCCGCTATTCGGCCTAATAGTGATAGTTGTAATGTTCCCCAATTGGCCAGATCTTTCCTTATCTGTGAAAGTAATTTCATATAATTATCCTCTTTTATGGAAGAGCATCTTCCTGTTAACCAAATTCCTAGATACTTAAGTTTTTTGACATTTTGTAGTCCCAATTTCCTTTCCAATTGTTTTTTTTTTTGACTTTCTATCAAGTTTTTGATTATTACTTTTGTTGTATCTTTATTAATTTTTAGTCCTGCTACCGCCCCATACTCTTCTAATTCTTGGATTAGATAGGTCCCTGACTCCATTGGAGCTTCCACAAAAAACACTAAGTTGTCCGCAAACGCCTGTACTTTATATTCTTCTTTTTTGCTCTTCAATCCAATTATCTCCTTTCTTTGTCTAATCTGATTTAAAAGCACTTCGATGGTCAAGATAAAAAGCAGAGGCGACATTGGACATCCCTGCCCAACACCTTTCATAATCTTAAAGTTTTCAGTAATCTCCCCATTTATAATTACCCTAGCTTTTTGGTTCAGATAAATTGTGCCAATCATTTTCTTGAATTTAGATCCAAATCCCATATTTTCAACCTGTTGGATCAAGAACTGCCAGCTGAGATTGTCGAAGGCCTTCTGAGCATCCAAAAAAATCAATGCTGCCTGCTTTCCTGGGTGGGCCTCATAGTATTCTAATACGTTTAATACTATCCTTATATTGTTCCTTATCTGTCTAGAGGGTAGAAACCCGTTCTGGTCAATATGAATAAGTTCATTTAATATAATTTTTAGTCTTTCTGACATTATTGTTGTGAATATTTTATAGTCTGCGTTCAGGAGTGAGATTTGTCTATAATTTTTAATCTGTTTATGATCTAAATCTTCTTTAGGAATTAGTGAGATATTCGCTTCTTTCCATGAATCGGGTAATTTAGCAAAGTCTAATACCTCATTGTACACATCTAACATCACTGGTTCAAGATATTCATAAATACATTTGTACAATTCTGCTGGAAGACCGTCCGGCCCTGGCGCCTTATTATCTTTCTGCCTTTCAACCGCCCTTTTCAATTCCATCACTGTTATTTCTTTATTTAATATCTCTTTCTGTTCCTCTCTAATTTCTGGGATACCTTTCCTTTTCAAATATTGTTCTATATTCTCAGGGTTTATTCCATCCTCCCTATATAGTTGTTCAAAATATTTTTGTACTATTTTCTTTTTCTCAGTCATTCGATATTCTAATTTTCCATAATTATCCTCCAATTCTTGTATCAACCTTCTTTCTCTTTCTAATCTTAATTTATGGGCTAACCACCTCCCTGGTTTATTTGCATGTTCGAAAAAATTCTGTTTTGCCCTTTTCACCTCTTTAACTCTCTCTTCCTGATTTATAATGTTCAATTTATGTCTAGTAAGAATCATCTCTCTCCTCAATTTTTCATCTTGTGGTTTTTTTTGTAATCTACTTTCTAGGTCTTTCATCTCCTCCTGTAATTTATTCTGATTTTGCCATCTTTCCTTATTCCTTTTCGATGTATATGATTACCTCATGTAAATCCTTATAGAATTGACTTTGGTTGTCATTCAGTGCATAAACTATAACTAATAACATTGGCTTGTACCCTAATTCTAGTTCAAGTATCAAAATTCTTGTGGGTCTACATATTTTTCTACTGCCTTAATTTCTTTTTTAACATATACCGCTATCCCTTTCTGTTTTTGATCTGCCAGGGCTACAAATAACCTTCCTAATTTAGGATATTCTAAACATTTCCAGAATTGTTTTTTTAATATGAACTTCTTGCAGGCATACTATTTCTAATTTCTATTTGGCTAATCTAGATAGTATCTGTTTCCTTTTAATGGGTGAGTTTAGACCACTTATGTTTAATGATAATAGCTTCGTTTCCGTTTCCGTCTTTCTACTTGTGGGATATTATCTATCTTCTGTTAATTCTAGTCTCTCTTTGCGGGCGTGTTCTTAATCTTCTTCCTTCCGTCTCTTCCTTGTTCTCTCCTTCTTGTTCTAAGCCTCCTATATCTTGCTGTTGTTGTTCTTCTTGGCTTTCTGTCTCTAGCTCCTCTCTACCGCTGCTTTTTTCTTCTGTTCCTCCAATCTGCTCATAGAAATCTTGCGCCTTGTCTAAGTTATCTATCCTGATCCTCTTTTCCTGCCATGTTACCAACAAGCCTTCTGGATTAACCATCAAAACATTATATTCTTCTGGATAAGTTGTGTTGCCAAAAACTTATAGTCTTTTCTCTGTTCACGCACCTTCTTGGAAACCTGCTTCAGGATTTGCACTTCTTTATCTTTATAAACCAAAGGTTTGTCTCGCGTTATCATGTATATTATGTCACGTACTTGTTTCCTGGCAAATCGCATGTGGACTTCCCTGGATAACCTGTTACATCGAGCGTAACTCATTTGAACTCTATAGGCCTTGTCGATTTCTAGCAGGATCTCTTGAGTCTCCCTTTGTAAAGCTGGTGCAAGTAATTCTGCCATAAGCACATTCAGATCTTCATCTCTACTTTCAATGATATTTTGAAACCACAAGTAATAGGCATCTCTAGGTGGATAATCTGTTCTTCTAATCTTTTATTTATTGTCATCATCCTGTTGTCAATTAGTTACAGTTTATTTTCATTTTGTACTGTTCTAAGTTCCACCTCTTCTAGTTTCTGCTTGTTCTTTTGCATTGTTTGCTGTATGGTATCAACTTTGTCTTCTAATTTATTAATATTGCCTTTCAATTCCATATGATTTTGTGAAATATTCTCTTGTGTTTTTATCTGTTGTTCTTGCATTTTAAGCATGGTTTCTTGAATGATCATTAACGAAGCCTGTATTGTTTGCATATTGGTTACAGTTTGTTTTTCTGCCCCTGACATTCCTTCAATTGCCTCTTGACCGGCAGGTGATGTAATTGTCAATGTTGGACTAGATGTTGTCTTCTTTGCCGTTCTCCAGGCTGATTTCATGGCCCTTGTCTTATTTTCAAGCTCTATTTGTTTCTACCTATTTTATTATTTCCTTTACAATATATTTTAAACTAATCTCTTACTTTCAATTTATTCCTTCTTCTTTTCAAATCTCTTTATTATAATTATATCGAATTAGCACCCCTTGTTATCCCTTTCTCTATCTCAAGGTCAATATCACTATATATCTAACAATATCCTACTCAGACAAAGCCCTCCTTATGCACAAAGTATTAAAATTTATTCCTTTTTTCCTTTTATTTATAATAAAAGGGGGAATCTAATTTCCATTTATATATAATCACCTAAATAAACTCTCCCCTTAATCTCTTAATCTTGTAATATTGTAATCAAAACTTATTTATCACCATATTTCCTTAGTTCAATATACAATATTTAATCAAAGTAATTATAATCTCAAATATCACCCCAATAGAGAAGGAAAGACAAAAAGCCGCCCTTTTTAATTTCTTAATTCACTTTTTTTTTTGTAAATTTTATTTGAGTTTTCACAAAGAGAAAAAAAATACAAATAAAACATCTTTTTTGAAAGTAGTGTAATCCCGGGTTACATTTCTTCATACAGACACAAATTCAGGTTCATGCTCATTTTTATATTCTATTCCATATCTTATTACTATTTTACATTTTCTGCATAGCTTCTCCCCTCTTTTAATTTTCTCAATTTTATTTTAATTATCTCATCTCAATTCAAATCATTGTATTTATATTTTTTGTCTGTCCTGTTTCAATTATCTATTATCTTTTCTCATTAAACAAAATTTCTCCTGTAGTTACTGATTGGAGTATGACGCCTTTATATCTTTTCCCTAAAGTTGTAACATTCAATATAACACATAACTTCCATTCAGATTCTGCTTGGTACATTCTTAAAATACACACTGTATTCTTAAAAAAAGAAAAAAATTATAAATGTATATAATTAAAACAACATTCCATTCCAAGTCAATTCTATCATTAATATTAATATTCATTAAAGTCTTAACTTCTTTAACATTACTTTTCAATTAAATATCATACTTCAATGGGAATAATTATAAGCTTTCCATAGTTAATTCCCTCCCTCTTCTCTTATATTTTATAAAACATTAACTAATTAAAATGTTCCCATTCCTTCCTAATTCAATTTTCTCATTTATTTTATTTCACTTATTTTATTCACAAACATTTCACTAAATTACACTAACTATTTTATCCCTCATTTTAATCATACATTGTTTCCAATTTTCTAAAGTTATTTCTATTACTAATATAACAATACAATCTTATGTACCTTTACACAATCCCTTTTTCAGTTAGATTTTCACCCATTATCTCTAAATAGGTCCTGTTTCTCTATATCTTGCTCCGGTCCTTTGTAACTTCTTTTCCTTTCCTTCTTCCCTCTCTTCTTCTCTCTCCCCTTTTTACCCCCTTGTCTCTCTACCTCTATTTCTCTCTTCTGTATTCCCCTTTTCTGTTGCTTTCCAGTATTATACTTATTTTTCGAATTATTTTTCTTTTCTTTGGTTGTTTTTTTTAAGTCTTAAATTCTCCATTCTCTTTCCCCACTTTCCTTTTTCTTCCCCACATAAAATTGCTTGTTCATTAAAGATGGCTTCTCCTTTGTCCCAGTCTACTTGTTTTGCAGTCTTTTCTTGTTGTTTCTCATAGTTCCAAATCTCCATTTCTAAGAATTGAAAAACGAAGCCAAAAGAACCCTTCCCTTCTTGTGCATCTTCTTTGTACTTTTTAAGTTCCATTTTCAATTCATCCAGAAGTGGTGCCATTGTATAAATTTTTAAACAACCACTAGATTGATTTTAGTCATTCAAATATAATAACCAAGAATCCAAAGATCACCAAATAATCCAAATACACGCAAGCTGTTTCCTTTTTGCTCTTTTTTTTCACTTTCTCTTCCTGGGGTTACTATTTAGTTGCAAAGTTTCAGTTAAAATGTATCTTTTAGAAGTCTTGTGGAAGTTTTACTGTAGATTCTTTTTAATTCCAGGCAGTCTCCTCCCTCTTCCAGATCCTGCCCTTATTCTTTTTCTCTCCCTTCCTGCTTATGAAAAAGAAAATTTTTAATGTCCAGAAATCTTTATTATCCCTTTGGCATTTTGTTTTATTTTCAGCTTAATTGCCTATTGATGTCAAAGTGGATTTTTCCAATTTCTTATTTAAGTCTCTTAGTTGTCAGTATAGGGAAGGAGAGAGAAGGGGGAAAAAGCCAAACCTTTCTCTTTTCACTTTCCTTCGCTGCTTCCGACTCTTCTTTGGGAGCAATGTTATTTTTTGTAAGTTTAAATTCCAGGGTACCTTAGTTGTTGCTTTTACAATTTAACCTGGTCAGCCAAAACTTTCACTTCTTATCGTCCTCCTGCACATTCTTTTCCGGTTGAGTTCTTCTTTGTGGTGGCCATTTCTGACCACCACTGCAACCACCTTTGGGAAAGGGAGTAATGGCCAGCTGAGGAGGAGAGATGCGGCTCTCCTCAACCCTGCTAGTGGTCTCCCCCCTCTTCACTACCTCTATGGGGTGGCTTAGCCCCGAAACCAGCTGGCTCGAGGCGCTCCAGTGGTGAGCCCAGACAGAAACCGCGCACGACCACGGATTCCTGTCTGTCACCAAAGCCCTTCAAACCGGAAGTCCAATTTCTTAATTCACTTTTAACTTAGAGCAGTAATCCAGTAGTCAGGTATTTATCAATTGAAAGATCTATATATGCATGTATCTCTACATTTCTTACTCAAACACCCCTTTTCTATTTCTTTCTATACACAATGTATTGTAGTTTCTCCTTTATACAATAAAAGAGGGGTCAAGGTTTAGATTCTCTATACTCACAACAATATATATTCTTCTTAAACTCTTAATATCCTACTCTAAGATTATTTATCACTACGTTCCTTAACCCAATAATCCTATTTTGTCAAGATAACTATACCATCAAGTTATTTCAAATTAAAGAAGGAGAAAGCCTCCTTTTTGATTTCTTATACCCACAATCTCCTTAAGACAGTGCTGTAATAGACAATTACATTCAAATCATACAGGTCATACAGATCATGTTAATCATATAAATCAAACTTATATTTCAATACCAGCCTATTTTGTTATCTTTAAAGTTTACAGTTCATACAACTCACTCAAAGATTTCCTTTTCTTTTCTCTCCAATCTCACTGTCTCAGTCCAAACCATTTCCCACTCTCCTCTCTTCCGCTTTGTCTTTATACTACTCGCTCCAAGTCTCTCTCTTTATGACTCCACTCGTATCTTCTCCGTTTCTTTCCAATCCTCCTTCATTGTCTCTTTCAGCCCACTCTCTGCCAAATTTTCTTCTTCTCTGCTCCCATTAATGTCCTGCCGTCTCTTTCCGCTTGAAAACTGCTCAGTCACTCCTTTCTCCGTGTTTCGCCTTTCTCACCTCCGTCGTCCTGACTTTCCTTCTGATCCTTTCAATGTCTCTCCACTTTCACTTCACCTCCTCCTTCCTTCCAAGACTTTCTTTTCTTTCCTTCGTATCGCTCTCACGTCCCGATCAGATTTCACTTTCTCCTTCTCCACTCGCCTTGTTGGTCTCGCAATTGCCCTCCATCCAAGAAGCAGAGAGAAGTCAATCGTCTCTCCCTTATCAATTTCTTTTCACCACCTCCTCCTCTGGCTTCCCTGGATTTTCTTCTTCTCCCACCAGTTCTCGTCTTATTTCAATCTCCACCTTTCAGCTTCCTAGAACTATTCACTTCCAACTTATACCCCCTCTCCTTCAGTCACTTTCCGTTTGTAAAAAGTGCTGAATCACAGCTCTTT